CTTAGTGTTGATACATGGGGCCAGTCTGAAGTGGATGAAAACAATCTGGAGAGTAAGTAAATGCTATTTTAATGCTTTGCAGTGCTTACACAGTATTATGGCTTAACTGTATAAGCAATGGTAGTATTGCACATTTACTGATATCTGCAAATCCTAATTTAAGCATTAGCAGGCTGTAGCTGAGAGAGGGAGAGGTGATGCCTCAAGCCCCTAATCTAACAATCTCAAATTATCAAAACATTTCCTGACAAAATATGCCTCCTCGCTGTTTGCTTTTTCTTCGCTGTGTTTCTCTAAGTCGCGTTGGACAAGAGCAAGGTTTATTGTTTTAGGCTTTTCTGAACACGCATCAGTATTTACACTGGATTCTGAGCATTTGCTTCCAATGAAAATCTTGTCTTGGATTACGACTCAGCAGTGTAATTTCCCTCCCAGATGGGAGCAAAGTAGCTATATTTGCCTAAAAACAGTAGGAAGAACAAACTATGTATTAAGCCTGGGCTGTTTTTGGCTTGACCTAATGATGTAACAGAAACCTTTTATTTGGGATAGGTCATTGCCAGAGATGGAAGGAGGGGATCTGGCTGCAGCTTGAAAGGTTTTCTTCATTGTATTTACATAAGTCTTCACTTACAAAATTCTGTGCTTAATGCTTCTGCTTTCATAAAGCAGAAATAAACAGGAAAGCTTCTGGTGAGTGTTCTACATGGAATGCAGAAAGGCTTCCCTCTCCTAATGGAGTATATAATTCAGGTGCCCTTAAGGCATGCTTTCAGGAATTCTTTTGCCTGAGGTAATGGGAAGCTCAGGCTGTTTTAAGGTCCTGATTATCTATTGATGCACAAAGCTTAATAAAAAGTCATCGCTTTCAGTTGGTTGTGGATATTTTTATAAATAATCAATTGCCCTTTTTATTAGTACTATATTTAAAATGTGGAATTTATGCATTCTAATTTTAAAATGGTGGTGGATTTTAAAACCTACGCTCTAGGATTTGAGAAGGGGGTAGGGGAGAAAGAGCTGAAGTAAATTAAAGAAAAAAATATTTTGCTGTTTAATCAACAAATGTGTGTTTCTTTTCAAATAGCTCTCCTTAGCATATAAAGTAGATTGGCTCATTGAAATGTTAAATGCAGATGATTTGCTTCTACGGCTCTTTGCCTCTTTGATGCAGTTTTAGATTTTCATGGTTTTAGAGGAAAGAATAGGAAAAGCCCAACACAAACAGCTCAGGTTGGAGATACTAGTCACTTTGTGAATGCCATTGTTATGGTTTCACTAGACTACTAGAGCACCAACCACATTGTAGTTGTTTGATCTAATAGGGACTTCAACCTATTTTCTTTGTTTTTTTTCTAAAGTATTTGCCAAAAGTAAATATTAGATGAAGAGTGTATATAAACACATTTACTTTCTTTAAAGTTCTGTAGCTTTTTATGAAAACTTTAGAAGGATTTTCTTATTACATGTAATTCCATTGTTTGTTACTATATGTAATTTACCATAATTCCTGTGTCTCCTCTGAAAGTTTTGCATTGTAAGATAGCTCTCGTAGTATAGTAGAAGAGTTACCAACTAGTGAAGCATACTTGTAACATTAAAGCATATGTCAAGGCAAAATAAAAAACCCCCCACAAATTTAGTACATTTCTAGAATACATGCACCGTTCTCTATGTTTTATCCCTTTAAACACGTTGCAAGTACCAAAAATAATGATTGTTGATGTGCCAGAAATAGTGTTCTCCTACATTCCTTTTTGACATGACAGCAGAGCTCTGAATTCTTAAGTATGTGGTGCCAACTCTGCCTACCTAATTTCTGATGGGTTGTAACGAACACAGACCTATCCGCTTCTACACCCCCCCATTTCCATAACCCCTCCTTTTGCACAAGCGAAAAACACAGAAATTACACTGGCAAGGTCGTCGGGTATTTTTTGCACTGATTGGATAAAACACTTTAAATTGCATATTTAGCAGACCAAAAAGAGATGCAATTTAAGGCTAGCTCCACATGGTTAAGTATACAGAACTAAATGACTTAAAGGAGAACTATGGCCTAACCCTTTTTTGGCAAATGTTCTCTTCAGGGTCACAGGAGGGCACATACTAATGTCCTCCGGTGACCCAAAACTCAGTATATAGCGTGCTATTGCCCGCTATATGCGGGGAGCACATAGAGCCGCACCGCAGCCAGGACTGATCCCGACAATACTGTCGAGATCCACTCCACTGGCTGATTGACAGCTTTCTCTGCCTCTCTAGAAGCAGAGTCAACTGTGCCCACCCCCTCCCTCGTCCATTCCTCCCATCAGTGCTAGAGAAATGGAGAGGGGATGTATCCCTGCAGGGAGTGGTGACTGACAGTCACCGCTCTCTGCAGGGAGAGGAACGTGAAGTCAGCGATCAGCGGTATGTATTCGTTGACTTCTCGATCAATAGAGCCGACCTGTGACAGCTTCATTGTCAAAAGTCGGCTTGAATTATGGGGATGAGTATTTTTTGTTCACCCCATAATTCTCCTTAAATACAGACTTCTTCATCAATGGGAAAGCTGCTAGTTGTTGACTGCTAAAATGTTGCATTCAATGTTCAGGCTGTACCTAGCCATTGATTTCAGTTGCCTCCCTTGCCGTGAGAGCATTTGGAGAGAGGACAGAATTCTGAGCATGACAGGTGAATACAGTTGCACTGTATTTCCAAATGTCACACCATACGAATGTGTGCAAAGCATTCGTAGTTCCTATCCTACCTTTTGTAGCTGAAGGTTTGTGAGTGCTGCAAATGTCTGTGACCAATCTATGAATGTCCCCAATTTCACATATTGAAGTAGATTGCGGCAGAATTAACACGATCTGTCGTAATTCAATAGTGGACCACTTTTTAAACAAGCGCACCTATCTGCCACAGTTTCACATCATTTGACAGTGTTGCAAATCTGCCACACTTTCACATAATCAGTTGAAAATACACGTGAAAAGCGATAGGACACATTTTACCACATAAAATGTGAAATTATGATAAATCTGTCAGATTTCTACGACTGACTAGCAAACTGTGGCACATTAACCAGTGCAGTGGCTGCATCTATATTGATAAATGTTCCCCTCTTCATCTCCATGTGTATGTAGACCTAGTTCAATGCAGAAGGGATTTAGAATAATTGTGGGCATGACCTGAAAGGCATGTATCAATAAATAAGGAAATATTGAGGAGAGCAGAATAATAGGTGAGTTTATATTTATACTGTAAATAAGTGCAATGTACATAAGAAAAATAGCTGCGTTCATTATTGGCATCTCTGTGCACTAAACAATTTTCCAAATTATTGTCCCTTTAAGCGACGAAAATAATTCACTATTACTGTGGGTAGTTCTATTCCATCTTGACTATAGATTCAGATTTTTCTCACTCCCACCTAGTAGCTCCAATTTGCAACCATGTGTCTACTAGCCGGCTGTTCATTTGCATATCATTTGCACTTTCTTCAAATTTTTCTCAGAAGTAAACAACAAATACATCTTATTCCATACATTATTATCGTGGATGTAAATTGTTACCCATTTTCTTATTGGTTTCATTGCGTAGCACTAAGGTTAGGTGGCCACAAACACGTGATGCAAACGAATATGGCTCTATATGACAATTTGAGCAGCAACATCAGGAGATAATAAAAGCTGTATGGCACTGGTGCTGCTTGCTCCCAAACTTCTCTAATGTACTTGCTTATCAAACAGATTATGGATAGGTATGAATTCCTGTGTGCTGATTGGAGGATTTTTCCTGTGCACTGAAGTATTTGGTTTTTGACTGAGCATTTCTGATAAAACAATGCGAGAATGTATAAATCATAGATTTGAATTCTGTATCTGCACATGGTTTCTTTTGTTATTATTGAAAGAATTGCCCAAGAAATGTGTGTGCACTCATATAACACCCAATCATATGACTTCTGGCCCATCAACACTAGAACCATCCATCATATGCTGCCTCTAGATATCCTGTGCTGTCTGAAGTTGCCTGAAGTTGTCTGAAGCTGTCCATAAACAGCCCTATAAATGGATGAGATTCAGCAGATAGAAACATTGCATGTAAAAATTGAGCCATGTGTGGGTTAAAAGCAAAGCAACGATTAGGACTTTTTATTGCATGCAAGAATTTTCAAAATATTGCAAACTCTATTTCTGACTGAACAGTGTTCATCCCCTTTTTATGAGGAAAAGAGACTGAACCATACACCCTTGTGAGTTGGGGAAAGCCTAGTGTCAGGTGCTGGTATAGCCCTATTCTTGTAAGCAAATTAAAATCTTATACCAGCTGTTATTCACGCTAAGAGATCCCCAATTCTATGGCTACCCTTAGTTCATAGAAGCAAAATTAAGTCAAAAGCTCATGTTTTATAATGATGAACTCACTCGGAGATTTTTATTGGGTGTGGATAATACTTGGTGGCAATGTTTCAGAGGCGTACAGCCTCCTTCATCAAGCCAATCTTGAAACATTGCCACCATGTATTAACCACACCAAATAAAAATCTCAAAGCGAGTTTTCCATTGGATATTGTCAGGAGTAGAAGAAAGTCTCCCTTCAGTTGATTTTGCACCAAGTTGCTATTGCCACATTCACTTGCAGTGCTTGCAGTTTTTGTTGCTCTGTACTGTGGAAATATTCCAAATGATAACTATAGCAGTATGTTTTTGTTTTTTAAATAAATTATATCCTCAAATTCACATTTTGGAGCTTTCAGGCTTCACCTAGAAGCGCCACATCTCTTCCACACATAAATTATAGGCAGCTCTTTGCAATTTGGGTTGAACAATTTGTGAAGGTAACCATCAGCGGTCTTTAAAGATGGAGGATTTGTAGTTGCAATAACCCTAAAACTGACATATTGTACTTATGGTTTAATTCTCTATGTCAGTATTACTGTTATATTCTATGCCTGCTCTTCTCATTTCAGAGCAATCAATAAATGTATTCTGTTCTTTTTTCATTTACAGGCGATGGGTTGGACAACAGTGTAGCCTCACCGAGTACGGGGGATGACGATGACCCAGACAAAGACAAAAAACGTCACAAAAAGCGTGGTATCTTTCCCAAAGTGGCCACAAACATCATGAGGGCGTGGCTGTTCCAACACCTAACGGTAAGTCTACTCTCAGACACTTACTGCGGTTAACTTATCAGTACATATGCTGTACAAGCTAGTTTGATACGTATTAAGTGAACCATTGATTAAAAATACACCTGATATTAGAGGAGCACTCTTCATTATGTCTGCTACTAAACTAAGGAGGTTATTCACAAAGCTGCCGAAGGATCTAGCTGTAGCTTCGGCTGATCCTTCTGCTAGCTCCGGCCCCAGGACCCCTTCGGCTCAGTAGAACCAAAGGGCTGCTGTATGGGCTATTCACTATAGCCCGTACAGCTCCCGAAGTGGGCCGAGGGACTCAGTCGAGCTGAAGGCATTTGCTTTGGCTCGACTGAGCCCAGGGGAAATTCGAAGCTGGCCTAATGACAGCAGGGCGGATCCAGCCGTTATCTCACGGATGGCTCCGGCCACTTGCAGATTCAGAACGGCTTCCCTGGTTACCTGGTAATTACACTGAGAACTCGTCAGAGCCATCACAGTCGGAGCCATCACAGCGGCTCCTCCAGGTTCTGTGTGCAATGACAGGACGGCGTCCCTGGTTACCTGGTAACCAGGGACGCCGTTCTGACATTACACGGCGGCTTTGCCGGGTTCTGTGTGTAATGACAGATGGGCGTCCCTGGTTACCAGCCCATATGTCATTACGATGAGAGCTTAGGAGAGTGATATGAAAGCTGAGTCTGCTAAGCTCTCATCTTAATGACAGAACAGCCTCCGCTGGTTACCAGGTAACCAGCGGAGGCTGTTCTGTCATTAGGATGAGAGCTTAGCAGAGTCGGCTTTCATATCCCTGCCGGCTCTGACAAGCTCTCATTGTAATGACAGCTAGTCCCAGCCAATAGAAAACAGTTGGGCGGAGCTAGCTGTCACTGCTAGCTCCGCCCAATCGTTTTCTATTTCTATTCTGCTCGGTAACACCAGAGGTCACTGCTGTTCGGAATCTATGAGAATAGGCTGAACAGCAGCGAGTAGCCTGCCGGAGGTATGGCTCAACCGATCCAGATGTTGTCCAGATGCTGAGTCGAACTCCTTCTGCACTTCGGGTCGGCTGAACATGCCAAAGCCACTTGATGTACGCCTGAAGTGAATAGGTGAACAGCGTTCGGCCTACGGCAGCTTTGTGAATAACCCCCAAAGCAAAACAGCTTCCTAGCATATTAAGGGCCGGATTAATAACATCTTATTGTCCATGGCCAACTGTGCCCTGCCCCCGTCTCATCCAACTAGAAACATTTGTTGATCATGTAGTTGATACAGGGCAGCCATCAGGGGGTACGGCCGATACTCACGTAAACCGGGTCCCTTACATGACTATCGGCTAACGGTGAAGGGCGAGGAGGCGGAGGCCTGGCCCTAGCAGCGCAGGGCCCCAGCATTGCCGCTCCAGCGGCTTTGAGACAAGCTAGGGCCCCATCAGCGACGATGCTAGTCTGATGTCGGATACTGATAGGTTTGACAGGTTACCAGCTTTTTGACATTTATTCCTCCATATCTGATTATGTTCCCAGTCCCACAGCAGTGGGCTGATCTTTGCAATTCTGCAATAACAGCACAGAATATCACAATGCATGTCAACAGGGATGGTAAGCTTAAGTTTTTTTGGGAAGTAGGAAGACAGGAACTATGACTACATATTATGAGCGGTATCCCAGAACACAACAAAACTCTGAGATTGCTGGGGGTGGTGCTCTAACTGCACATTCATCTCTATGATTATTTACCAAACAGCCCCAGATATTGTGACTTCTTCAGGGGCCCCAGTTCATCTCCTTATCCATGCTGCCATGCACTGTTCAGAGTGCCATACAAAGCATCCACACCACATGGCAATTTCCTGTCTCATGAAGCAAAAAGGGTCACTCCACCACAATTAGGCACTATGAAAAATGTGGTTCCACTAATATAAGCAAAACAGTAGCACTGACCTGTACTGGAATTGCATCAGAAGTTGCAGCAGATCTCAGAAGTTTTAGTTGAACACTAGAACAAATAGTTCCTTCTTATGTATAGAAAGGTAAAGCAAAATCCTAAAATAGACACTAAGCTCTCTAAGGGATTTAGCCATGGACAGGATCTCTTGGTGATGCTAAGATTACAGGAAGTAATATAAGTGGGACTGGTGATGCCAATGGAGGTGCAGTTGGTGTGAAGGAGTTCGTAAATGGTAGAATAAACGGAGACAAATCTTATAGACAAGGAGTATAATATATATTAGGTGTCCTGCAGGTTGCTGGTATAGTCTCTCCAGTCGGTATTATTACAAAAGGTCATAACATATGTGGAGCAAAACTGATAAGCATTGCTAGGGGCCCAAACTGTTTCTGTGCATGGGCCCCTGTGTATTCTATGTCTGAAACTTTAATGCAGATTTAGGGCCTAAACTAATGTGCTCAGTTTAGTGTCTTTTGCTCCAAAGCAAATTAATTTTAAGTGCCATTATCTAATTACATCAATACTAGACACAGCCAACATGCAGTCACCTCAGCATGCGACATTAATATTTTGTAGGCTGGTCCTATGACAATTATTATACATCCCATGAGTACACAGAGTACTGGTAAAAAGGGGAAACTGAATGTACATTGCAAGATATAAAAAAAAAACAAAAAAACTTTCTGTTCCTGAAAGGTTGAATGCCATCCATTGACAGATGAACAGATCTAGGCCTTTGTTTGCTTTGTAATGTGTCCTCTAGATAGATAAAAGAGCCATGGTAACATTTGCTGTATGATAATAATAAATCTGAAGTTAAACACTTGTAATAAAAATCCCTACACTTATTTGCATTACTATCACTAGATAAATATTTACTTAAGTTCATAGTGAGAGTTATGTTGCTCATTTCCTACATCCAAAGGAAATCAACAATGTGTAATAATTTCTTCCTGTGTGCTCCCCAGAGGCTAGTAAAATATAGTTCATTGTCTGAATAGGTTCGGAGTGGTTCATTCTGTGACCAGGTATCACTGATTCACAAATAGATTGTGATCTCTGTGCCTCTGTGCTGTACATTGCCGAAGTACACATATGCTTATTTTTGGGGCATTAAGCCTATCTTTATTAACCTTTCTGTTTGTTAATTTGCATCATAACCAAACTTGTAAACATATAGGTGCATCATGTCAGTGCATCTTATACTAAAGGCTTTTGGATCATGCTTGTTAAAGAAAAAGGAAAACATAAATAAAATTTGAATAATTATTATTTATGCTGTTTGTTGATTGCCCAGGATTAGTGATATGCTAATTTGAGCATTCCAAAAGATAACAGAATTTTATAGCTTTTCTCATGTTAGAAAATCTATGCTACCAAACATTGAGACATTCCTTTTTGCCAGTCCAGTGGTGTTCAGTTGCATGCTTGTCCACTCTCTTGGCACAATCACATGTCAGTTAATAGTGTTGTTACTAATACATGCAGCTGATCAATCATTTTTGAATGAACTCAGAAGCATCTCAAACCCATGTCAAAAGCACATTGCATTTGCCCAACCAGTTGACACTGGCCCTAAGAGTGGAGCCCAGAGTTCAGTTCCCATGAGGGATGCTATTTTTGGGGTATTTATATGTTCTTCTCTAGTTAATATGGGTTCCAACTCCCCAATCATCTGTCCCCTTTGTGTATGACTTTGTCAGACACATTAGATTGTAAGCAAATTCAGGGAAACTGACTGGTGTAAATGGTGTTACTGGAAATGCTGCTGTAAAATTGGATAGAAGTATTTGATTAATAATCTTTAAAAAGTGCCTTTTCCGGGTTTTATAACAATGTTTGCAGTAGGTTTAGTTGTTCATTAATGAGCAGATCCAGCTGTTTAATTCTAGAATATGATCATCCATATGGATATTTAGATCACACAGGGACAACTACTTACATTGGCAGAGATGATCATTGGACATTGTTCTGCCACAGGAGGGTTTTTCATAATTATTAACAAATTAGTACTGATTTGGTTTAATCTGTCAACATTTTTATGATAAATAACTTTTAGATGTCATACTGCCAGACATAAGCAATGAAGCTATTTTGAGCAGATCCCACCCCTAACCATGTCATAATAATATAACAAAATAAGTAAATAAAACCAGAATATGTTAATATAGACAGCATTCTTTCTGTTTTATTTATAACATCCAATGGACTGCACAATGCACCAATTACAATAGAGAAACAGGAGAGCCATACAATTTATTTAAGCTGCATAGAGACTTGTGACTGCTCACTCCCCCCTCATGTTTTCTGCATTATCCAATAATGAGTATAGTTAAATTATCTTACCCTCATGCACTAGGCACAAGCACTTGAGTGCATTGTACAAGTTACAGTGCTATGATCATGGGCACTTTATGTTGTATTGAAAAGTAAATGCGTGACATGCAGACATTGATTTGTTGCTTTAGTAATAAAGGCAGGGCATTTTTTTACCTTAATGCATTCTCTGCATTAAGGTACAATATGTCCAGTACTTTCTGTGTCCCCCATCACAGCACACTTATTGTCAGTGCCATTTGTCACCACCTCTGTTCCCCGAAGTGATCCTCCATTCCGAACTTCCTGGTTGCGGGGGAGGAGATTGAGGGCAGAGGAGCTATAGGCTCCTTCTGCCATCAATCAACCTGTTGGGCGGAGAGGAGGGACGTGGTATGCCGCAGGGTCGTGTGGGTCTATGGACGCATACAGCTACTACAGGCAAGGCCAGGAACGAGCATGCACGGATGCCTCCACAGCAGCCGCTTAGCTGATGTAGGCACCCATGCGGGGGGCGGGGGAGTCAGTGATGCGGGGACAGAGCTGTGCCTTCCTTCCATACAAAAAAAAGAGCAAAGTTTAATGTCACTTTAAAGGAGAACTATGAGGTGAGTGATTTCCACTCATCCTCATAGTTAGAGCCGACCTGTGACAAAGAAGCTGCCACAGGTCGGCTCTATTGATCGAGAAGTGAGCAGAAACATGCCGCCGATCCGCTCACTTCCCGATCGTCTCCCTGCAGTGAG